AATAAAATGTAAGGTGCTATGCTTTCAGAAAGAAGCAATTTTATTAAAGAGGTGCATTAGATTGTTCACACTGCTCAGCCTTTTATGCAGAAAATCATGGACAAACGTCTACTAGCCATCAAGTGACTAGCAGAGGAAGACACAATAAACTCAGAGAATGGACTGGGCTGCCATTCTAATGACGATCTCAGTATTTAAAACAAAAAAACAAAGGATCATTGACATACCTTGCAACCCAACAGAAATACTTGCAGATGGGAGAAAATGGCACAATGCACAATGTTTCCCTGTCATGCTATAGGAAATATATTATATATGTATATATGTCATGTATTATAACTATATATCCAATTTAGTTTGATGTATTTTAATTGCTAGCTTATAGATGAAACTTCTCTGTATTGTGGACTAGTTTACAAATAATAAATAAATAAATAAATAGTCAATCATGATTGATATTAATGAACCTCTGACCCATCTTTTGGAGGACTAGACTTTATCCTGTTGTATCAGTTAATGAGCAGTTCTTGCCAGTTTTATATTTGAGCTTCTGTAAGTCCAAATTGGATGACAAATATTTCTGTCTACTAGAAAATATAATATTTTATAATATTATTCTTCTCATTTTAAACAAATGTCATGTCACTTTAAAAACATTTATTGTTTTCTTTCATATATGTAATAGTTAGGTTTAGGTTTCACTTTTTAACACATAATACTACTGGTATGTATCCTAACCACATATACCTTATTTTATTTTATTCAGCTTTCTGTTTTGCTGTTCAATGAATATCTCCATGTTGCATTTCATACATTTTCCTTGAATTAATAATAAGCAGAGGAAAGTAGTATCTCCAAATATGATTTTACATTGTAATAATGATAAAATTTATGATTTCTATGAATGTTCATTAAAATGCAATCAATGACAAATGTCTTTATTAGAAGTATACTTTTATATTGCTGTTGTAATCTAGGCTACCTGGCCCCAACTCTCACCTACCTGAGAATGGCAGTTGTATATTCCTTGGCCATTTAAAAGAAAAACTCCACTCACTTATTTTTTCTCTTTCAATTATCAGGAATATTGGGCAAGGGGGAGCTTGGTGGATTCCATGGCTGGCAAGGGACAAACATGCCAGGCAGAGGGAGCTTAAGTGAGAAGTTTTATTAGATGGAAACGGAGGAGGGAAGAAAGAAGAGAGGGAGGGGGGACAGAGAGAGAGAGAGAGAGAGAGAGAGAGAGAGAGAGAGAGAGAGAGAGAGAGAGGGGAG